CACACAAAGCGTAGAAGATGTACCGAGAGGGATCAAGCGATCCCATGGTATGGTAAGCATTGTCAATTACGCTATGTGTACTAACCCATGATCTTCGTGAGAGTTCTTTGTGGGGTTAGGTTGTGGTGTGCAAGTTCAAGTGAAGCATCATGAAGAGATCAAATGCTTGAAGCTTACCGTCCATTGTGGTGATAATGGACTTGTGAAGATGTGCGGAAGAGTGGCTCACCCATAGTGGAGTATGGGGGAGCAATCAACTAGTCTTCATCGAGCCAACGCAATCAAGAAAGGTGGTCCAACTTGAGGGAGTCAAGATCGTCATCATCTAGATCAAGTGGACCATGTGCAAGGCAAAGGTTTGCCCTTGATAGGTTTTCTATTTTACCGGTCTCATGATGGTAGTTGGGAGACCGGGTTTTAGGATCAATTGTCGTACTATCAAGGGGGGCTCTCAATGAGTAACTTGATCATATCATTCATAGAGAGCTCAAACCATTGCATCCTTGCATCATCTTTATTGGTTCCTGTTTGGTTCTTCTCCTTGTGAGATTTGGAGCTTATGGTCATTTTCTTGACAAGCTTGAGTTCATCGAAAACGGAGTTCACATGCATCTTCTATGATGTTTTCGATGTTGGAGGTTGTGTCGGTTCTTCTCTGTTGGAGGTTTCTCTCCTATTTTTGTTAGGCATACCTCCCCTGGCTGATGCTACTCGTTGTCTTGTTTCAAACAAGCTTGAGTTTGCTCAATTTGGAGCTCATATGAAGAAGTTATGACAGTTCTATTTTTCTCCCTGCGATAGTACCGCGGTGGCAGCGGTAGTACCGCTTGTAGCATCAAGCGGTAGTACCGCTCCAGTACCGCTCTACTACCGCCTCGATTTTGGGTCTGCTCTTTTCGTGTCGGGTTTAGCAGTAGTTGCACGGCAGTAAGGCACGGCAGTTCCGCCTATAAGCGGTAGTACCGCCCCGATTGGGCGGTAGTACCGCTTATAAGGGGTAGTACCACTCCGGTCGGGCGGTAGTACCGCTACTGCATTACTGCCGCCGTTCTCTGCTCTGCCCTGCCCCTTTTGATCCCGTGTTCTGCTCCTCCAGCGGTAGTACCGCTTGGGTGAGCGGTAGTACCGCTTATAAGCGGTACTACCGCCCCAAGGTTCATGTTTAATTGCTCTTTTTTCCTGCTTCTACCGCTCGAGCGGTAGTTCCGCTCGTGGAGTGGTAGTACCGCTCATGTGCGGGCTGAGCACATAACGGTTAGATTTCCCCCCTCCTATATAAGGGGGTCTTCTTCCCCAATGAACCTTATCCTTTGAGCTCGTGTTCTTCCCCCATTGTTGACCTTCTTCGAGCTTGCTAACTCTCAATCCCTCCATGGATTCTTGCTAGTTTTTGAGGGAAAGGAGAGAGGAGATCTGGATCCACATTTCCACCAATCACTTTCTCCTCTATGTGAGGGGAACCCATTGGATCTAGATCTTGGAGTTCTTGGTGTTCTCCTTCTTGTTCTTCCTCTCATCTTCCTCCCTAGCATTAGTTGCTTCGGTGGGATTTGAGAGAGAAGGATTTGGGCACTCCGTGTGCCCTTGCCATTGCATTTGGTGCATCGGTTTGAGTTCTCCACGTGATATGTGGAAGTTTTACAAGTTGAGAAGCTTATTACTCTTGGGTGCTTGGTACCCTTGAGCTTGTTACTCTTGGGTGTTTGGACACCCTAGAGCTTGTTCCTCTTGGGTGCCTTGGCGCCCTAGACGGTTGGTGTTGTTCAGAGCTCAATCATTGTGGTGTAAAGCTCCGGGCAAGCGTCGGGGTCTCCAATTAGGTTGTGGAGATCGCCCCGAGCAAGTTGACGGGTACCAGTGACCGCCCCCAAGGGTTGCCAAAGTGTACGGGTTCGGTGACCGCCCCCAAGGGTCGCCATTTGTACGGGTTCGGTGACCGCCCTCAAGGGTCCCTTAGTGGAATCACGACATCTTGCATTGTGCGAAGGCGTGAGGAGATTACGGTGGCCCTAGTGGCTTCTTGGGGAGCATTGTGCCTCCACACCGCTCCAAACGGAGATTAGCATCCGCAAGGGTGTGAACTTCGGGATACATCGTCGTCTCCGCGTGCCTCGGTTATCTCTTACCCGATCCCTTTACTTATGCACTTTACTTTGTGATAGCCATATTGTTCTTTGTCATATATCTTGCTATCACATAGTTTCTTATCTTGCTTAGCATAAGTTGTTGGTGCACATAGGTGAGCCTAGTTGTTTTAGGTTTTGTGCTTGACAAATTAACCGCTAGGTTTATTCCGCATTTGTTCAAGCCTAAACCGTAATTATTTTAAAGCGCCTATTCACCCCCCCTCTAGGCGACATCCTCGATCTTTCAGTGCTGATGGGAAGCACCGCCACCACTACTCTCTGCCATCACCAGCCATCGTCACCATGGCCGGCACTAGGACTTCCTCGAGCCACAAGGAGAACATAGGTCTACCGGATTGATCTAGCCTACCCGATCCCATGGATATAACAGATTGATGGTGTTACTCTCCACCTTGATAGAAAGGACACAATTTCGTGGAAGTTCACGTCCAGTGGCCAATACTCAGCCTCCACGGCATACATGGCTCAATTTGCGGGGCTTGTTCTCAGTAACACCACTGCTATAACGTGGAAGACTTGGGCGCCGCCTAAGTGCAAATTCTTTGCATGGTTAATCCTGCAAAACCGTGTGTGGGCTGCAAATCGGTTGCATCGGAGAGGGTTGCCAAATTGTGGTCTATGCCCTCTTTGCAAGCAGGCCTCGGAGACTGCCGCCCATCTCCTCTTTCAATGTAGATTCACCACCCGAGTTTGGGATGAAGTTGTCAGCTGGCTCGACATATGCATGGCCACTCGCCGATGGCTTGGCACCATGAAAACTCTGTCCGCGATTGGTGGCTCCGTTCGGTGGAGGGTGGAGGCCACATCAAAAAGGCCACCGCCTCGGTTATGATGCTTGTTTCTTGGGAAATATGGAAGGAGCGAAACGCCAGAATCTTTAACAACACTGCCGTCCCGACCACCGTTGTCGTTGCAAGGATCAAAGAGGAGGGCAAACTTTGGGCATTGGCGGGAGCGAAACATCTGAGTAGTCTTATGTCGCGAGAGTAGATTTTTGTTTCTTTGCCGCTTTGCGGCTTATGTCTAAACCTTCTCCTTATCAATGAAATTGGCAAGTCTTTTGCCTTGTTTCAAAAAAGAAAAAGAAAAAGAGAGAGAGACCCTGCAACCACTCAGTCATCCATATGTGAAGCAAACGAAGAACACTGACTACAGGTACACCAAACACAATAGCGGTCTCGCAAAAAGGAAAAAACACAATAGCGGTCACAGGCAACAAAGGTTCCATTTCAGCTCAAAGAAACTGTACTGATATGGAACTTGATTAAGCATTGGCGACACAGTCGAGCATAGTGCTTGCTGTCCGCTAGAACGATGTGTAGAGCTTCAGTTTCAGTTTCAGAGCAGGAATTGGTGTCTGCTCCTGATTTCAGCTGACTACAGTTTCAGTTTCAGCTTCAGTTTCATTTTGTGAACCTAGCTTCAGCTTCTGGTTTGCAGTGCAGTAGATAAAGGCAACCAGGAGACCCCAGGTTTTGAAGCAATTGTTTACTGAATGATCTAGTTTCAGAGCCCCAAGAGAGTGACCAGAACAGGTTCTACTAGGGTATGAATGATCTAACTTACCATGCAGAAGTTACACACAAGTGAAGCCATTTTTCAGAGCAATTGTTTTCTTTTTGTAAATCCACTGCTGTTGTTTTCAATCTTGATGATGAACACAGAGCTCCAACATCCAAAATATCCATTCAAAAAAGCATTTACACCGGCTCCCGAATATCTATCCATGCTAGCACAGAAGAAGCACTATATTATCCTTGTAAAGGGCGTTAGGCAGGCTCTAAAGTCTTATAACTTACCAAAATCCCTATCACAAAATCTGACCCAAGTTCTGAACTTTACAAACTTGGGAAACCTGAGGACCTGGTAGCCTGATAGGCTTATTTTCCCAGACTTTGAAGATCATACAGGATGAAAGCGACATGAGGCACAATGTATTTTTCCAAAAACACGTATGCCCTGAGTGAAATACCAGTTACGCACAATCTTTTCATCACTACCAAAGAATGAAGTGTGCTGTCAGTGCCAAAGAATGCATTTCAAGTTCTATCCCCAGCAATATTGGTACTTGTTTCAGCTTGGCAGGCTTAGTGTGCGAAACGAAACAATCTAACAAGAGAAAGAACAGAGAGAACTATCTCTGAATTTGTATCAGCTTCTTTTGGATCCCATCCCAGAATAGAAGATGTCTTTTGTTTGTGTGAATGTACCAGTCACTTTTGCACTTAAAATGTACAATATCGTCTATGCTAAAATGCTTTGCTAGAGGAAAGATGCTGTGGGAAATAGCAAATTAAACACCCTGCTTGTCTACATGTTAACAGCAGAAGAAGATCAGGTCACATTTACCTTCCTATATGGGCTTTTCATAATCAACTTCCTCTTTTAACCTTATCGTGTTCACTGTTTTCATGGCCTGAAAATCACAGTTGAGTGCTTGATGCAGTGTTTAGTGTAAGCAGAGGAAATGATATGAAGCAACTAAGCAAAAGAAGTCTCTGTCTCTACGTAAAACACCAAAATTCCAGTCTTAGCAGTGTGTACAACTGAAGCAGTTAGATGACATGTCCAGCTCAACCAGACAAGAAGATCATCATGTAAGGCAGTGCATGGCAAAATCCAGCACTAAACAGAATTTGGATACTGAAAACAAGGCATTTCTTGCAAATAAACATCCACCACGTCACCTCAATGTTCAAACATAGATGAAGCTGCGGTTCCTAGAGATAAACACTAAGTGACAGAATAGGTACTACGATGCTTAGCCTACATCCTTACATAGATGAAGCTGCGGGAAGCTGCGGTTCCTAGAGATAAGCACTAAGTGACGGAATAGGTACTATGATGCTTTGCTTACATCCTTGCCATAGCTGACTTGATGGCATCCAAGATTCTGGGGTAGTCGTACAACAAAGCAGATTGCTCACCTTGGCTGCCCCCAATCACCAAGTCGAAGCGACGAAATCTACCAACTAACGATGCAATTCTCTCATTAGTGAGAGATTTCAGGTTGGCAATCTGAACCAGCTTGCCTGTCTGGGTCTGATCCCACCAACCCTCAAAAATCCTCCTATTAGTTTCGCCTTCCTCAACAGACACCACTGTCCTCATGCGGATCCCAAGCCTGTGCAAAGCTACCTCTCCTCCTCCAATTCCGGTGGACAAGGACAGCACATTGACACCATTGGGAAACATGTCCCTCAGCACTGATAGGTGGTAAGCAACTGTATCAACTTGGAAGGAGTTCGCAAGAGATTTGTACCTCTCTGACTTGACGACTCCCCTTGTGTGGTCCCTTGGGAAACCGAGCAGAGATTCCATCTCATCAGGCTCCAACTGAGCAACCTTGTTTTTCCCTACCCAGACAAGATCCCAAGTTTTGCACTCATCCACCACATGTTTCTGAACACTTGGGTTGCCTGATCTTGCAAGAGTACGCTGGATCTGGTCTGTCAACTTTGCAGTTGCCACACTTGCTTGCAAGCAGTTGAGCTGCCTTCTTGGGTCCCAAGAAGGCCACCACTTCTTATAATGAGGGAATGCATCGAATACGGTCTTTGGAGGGAAAGGGAGAAGAGCTTCTCTGTTCTCAATTGGCAAATTATGGATGTACCCACTTTCCCTTGAAGCTGCACAAAAATACTTGGAATCCACAAACTCTGGTTGAATGTCGTAGAATTTTTTTGAAATGGTCGTCCATGCACCTCTTGGAGCTCGGGCCACATTCTGAAAGTAGAAAAAAGGTGGTCCGATAGCTTGTTCAGGAAGCGTTCTGATCACTGACGGTTGCCTGTCACTGGGCAGATTAAATCCAACCATAGGATCTGGGATACGCGTTGGCTCGTCATGGCTACCAGCAAAGGAGGGTCCACTGCCTTGTGCATATTGCATCCTCCTTTTCTTGCTCTCTTCCATCAATCTTGCTTTCTTTCTCCCTCCAAACGAATCAAAGCATCTATCCGTAACCTGCCAAATGTACACGGATTTCAGTTACATCGAATTAAAAGAGCAGAACCGTTTCTTATTGAAATGTACATAAAGGCACAAGGTACCTGATGGTTAGATATGTTTCTGGAATTGAAATCTCCTGCAACCAGTGATGCACTAATCGAATCAACTAATACACAGAGTTCAGCATCCACACCTAGGAAAATTCAAACAGAAATGTATAGTCTAAGTTGCCTTCTCCCTGAAAGCATGACTGTCGAGACAAAAATTTCAGAAAGAGCATACCACATCTTTTAATAGCAATATTTGCTTCATCTTCAGGAAAGCCCATGTCTACTAGTAAGTTGATCTTCTTATCTTTCTGTGACATCTCTCGTAGAAAATCCTTCAGAGAGTTACAATAAAAACTGAGATTAGAAAACACTTGCTACATCTCACTGACTTATTAATGCCAACTGAGTGACTGCTGACAGAGAAATACAACTACGTACCAACATCTATAGGGCCAGAGAAATGAAGGGGGCTACAGCTAATCAACGGTCAAGAAATGTATAGCACAGACTACCCAAGAAACAATAGAAAAAAACTGATCAAGAGTTAAATCAATGAAATGATTTAGGAACTCAACTTCTTGTTCTCGGGTGCTGTTTGAGAATGACGTTAATACAAGAGTTACTGTATGCATGAACACAAACGCTCATCATTTTACACTTGAAACAACTACCTACATTAGCAAATATCTATATGAAGTATTGGTGGTGCTGGACAGGAATAAACTGAAAGTACATGTTCAAGTTTGTTGTATCACATAATGGCACTCTGTGCTGGATGCATAGCAGTGGAAGAAAGTTAGAACTGATCGAAGATAAGGCAAATGTGTGTATCTTCAGTAGAACATGAAGATATTTGCATTCCACACTATTCAGGTTCATCACCTTGCTAGCAATCAAGATATTTTTTTGCTGAGCAGGTATAATAGACATCAAGCACTCTGTACTCTTTCCCTACTTGTTGTTTTCAGTCATTACATATATATAGCCATGTATAGGGTTCAACCATGCAATATCCTCATCACTAGTTTTATTTGCGTAACCTACACGAAAATCAGCTATCACATCATATATTACATTCTGAGATTTCTAAATTATTGACTCTGTGTATGTATTTCTAGCATAACATTTCTACATCGAATCCCTTGCTTTCTTCGGCTCTAACATGTAGATATTGCTCTTCTTGAGGTTGGTCTTGGAGTGAAGTTTGATGCAACTAGTGCGGTATGTGATGTACTTTTCCAGTATTAAGATCACTTTGTGTAACTGAAAGTCAAAAGAAGAATCTCGAACAATGCCTTTTAACTCTTGTAAATCTTATTCGTCGTAACCAGCAAGCTAGTTTCCAACCATCCTTGCATTCTATGGAAAAGTGATGAGCTGGGTTGCAGCACAAACTTTACCCAAGTGCAGGCTAGAATTATGTAGTACTCGGCATTCAAGTTTAGCTTCTATTTCTTATGAACTCTTCTCAGCTCAGTCCGATCGTACACTATATCTTGGACTACAAAGTCAACCAAAGAGCATAATTGTTTTGTGGTATGTACAGAGTATCTTCTCTTGGTTAAAGCATCTATAATATGATTTGCTCATGCCATCCTGATTCCACAAGTTTCAAGTCGTGCAACTAATATTCAAATGCATAAGAACTGAAGAGAAAGGGAGTGGTGTCTAACGTAAATAAATTTTCTAAATCATAAAAATCACAAACAAGCAGGACAATAATACACTCAGTTTCTACTATTTTCCAGTTTGATTGATTACTCAGCGGGAGGTACTGGTATAATGGTATTCAACCTCACTCCCTATATCACACTTACACGATAAACTTAAACAGGATGAGAATTCTATGTAAAAGACAAAGTGCTCAAACTTCACAATTCAATTGTACACCGTTGAAACACAAGGAGCAAAAAAAAAAACTCAAACAATACATAAAGAGGGTGCTCAAGGTATGCATGGCAAAGACTTCACATATATGATCAAAGAATTCTCAGCTACTGAACTAAAGATCAGGAATCATCTACCTCATCACCAGGATCATCACAGTTGGTCTCTCTACCACCAACATCATCATCGTCACCATCCCAATGCTCAAAGTCAAGATCATCATCATCTTCTTCTTCAACACTCTGAGGAGCGCAGCCAGAAGTAGAGCAGTTACCCACTGCATCATCAGCACCTAGTGCCTGTGTTTCACATTGCCAATCGTATAACATACAATATTTGCCATGTAGCAAAAGCATCATAGAATAAACCCAAGATAAAGCACATGGACAAATACCTGATATGTGAGAATTAGCTCGAGCAATGCATCTGGATCGCTATGGCCTGGAAACAAAAGCCCAGGTTGAAACCTAGGATATAAACATAAACAAGACAAATGAAATGAAACTAGTTACTTTGAGTCTTACCGATCTCCTTCATTCCCTTCACGACTATCTCTTTTGGGAAACCCATTGCTACATATTCCTCAATTAAAGCAGTAGACGGCGCTTCCTCGTTGGCCCGTTCATTAGCATCCTTTAGACATTTGCACAAACAAATATCACACTATAATCATAATAATAACAAGTCAGGGCTAGCTCTTGTGCTGAAGTACCAGCGTGGATGGGCCAGGAGCATCCGAGTTCCTGAAAGCCGGAGCCGATGAAGGCTCAGGCTCACCATCACTTTCCCACTCAAACTTAACATTGTCATCGCCGTCGCTATCCCGGTCCTGTCACATGAGTTAAGCACACCTCGATCAATATAAAAAGCAAACCACCAGAAAAGCAATAATAGAGAAGAAAATGACGCACAGAGAAGAGTTATTCTGTCACAAGCCCACAACACCCACAAGATATCGCCATTGACATCTCTAGCGCAAATCAGTACAACTATATTCTCCCCTCAAAAAACAATCAGTACAACTATATTCAGTTCTACTCCCTCTGTAAACTAATGTAAGACGTTTTTGCAGTACCGTTTAGAGAACATAAAAAATGAAGAAGAAAAGACCATCTCTTTTTATCGAACAAACTCCCTCCAACACTGTCACAACAAGACATTAAGCTAATGGGCAAAACATATACTGTACACCAGTTTCTAATTCAATTTCCAGTTATGGGGATGCTAAATAACTGAAATATGCTAGCTTTGAGA